TGTAAACAGTTCAAGCACAACTCAAGACTAAAATACACAACTCATCCAATTTACCAAGTTCATGCAGAGAAGGCTTATTGTATTATAATTATAACAAAAACACTACATTCTTGATGAAGTATTTAGTACAACGCGAGCAAAAAAAACAGTCACATAACTTAAGACAGCCATATATTATTTGCTCACACAATCTGCGATCAAGATACATGACGCTCATTGCAATTGCAAAATAAACAACACATTCCTGTTGTATTGTCTTCACCACATAAAAAAAAATTCCCCACCCTCCAAGTTGACAATTTATAAACAAATCAGTTATTGATACCTACAAGAAGATTACTTAGTGTCTTGGTTAGCAAGTTGTTCTCATGAAGCAGTCTGACTATTAGTAAAGTGTGTGCTTTGATGTTTCTTTTTTATTTGATCAGCTTTGGTAGTTTGGCCAGCATAATATATGGGATATATATTTCTGAGAAAAGATGAATAAATAAGATAAATATTAAGATGCCAGAACTTTACTAACTAATGCAAGAAATTGTGTATGAGAACAATGTGCACATTTAAAGATCTCAGATGTCCCTATGAATCATTAACAATAAACCCATAAATAAATCAGTTCACAAATCTGCTCAAAAGTCTCAACAAATCAAACATTAAACAATGGACATAATTAAGGGACATATTCTAGGCAACATTAAACAATGGACATAATTAAGGGACATATTCCAAATAACATTAATCAAGGGACATTAAAAAGGGACATAATCCAAGAAACTCAGGCCACACACCAACATCAATAGCAACAACAACATATCACAATCATACATCCCCTAGTCAGCAACAGATCACAACTGCTGGCAACCATTTATCAATAAGCAACACACAATCCTCCATCTCAGTCAACAATAAATCAGAACAACAACAATAATCCAACATTTCATAACCAAAACAGGCTAACTTCATCACACTCCTACATTTCATAACCAAAATAGAATAGCCTCAACAACAAAATCAAAGAAAAAAACTAGAAGTTGCCTACATTGGTCTTTGCTGGTGAAGAGGCAAAGGAGGAACCCCACCAGGCCGTATCTTAGAGCCTATCATCCCCATGCTCGGCATTCCATGCATTATAGGCCTTGTCTGCAAAGCATTGCCACAAACAACTGAGCATATGGTAATCACAAAACATGAAATGAACACAATTAAGCATGATCAAATATTCCTTCATCAATTTCGATTTCTAACATACAAACCAAATCTAGCTCAAACTACAGCAATCTGTAAACATCATATATCTAGGCTTTCCTCAGCAAAATATCAAATTTCAACCAAAAACCTAAAGCAACCTTCAACTTGGACTCCTACAAATCCAGCATCGACCCATCAACATCAGAAATCCGAATTCCAGTATTCGACATCGGTTAATCAAAAACAAGTCAACTCAATTGATGAAATCACAAAACATCAATCAATCAAAATCACAAACATGAAAAAATTACCGGAGATGGGGAGGAAGAGGAAACAACAGAAATCGCAAACCCTAGACGATGAACAAAAACAACAATAGCGAGGAACCACAAATCTCATTGAATTTCGATATCAACACAACAAATCAACTTGATTCACAAACATTAAAACCTCTAAAATCATAATCAATTCTGAATCAAGCTTCAACTCCGCGGAACCCAACGTAAAAGCAATTCGTGAAAACAACAAATCAATAGATTTGGAATGAACAGAAAATACAAAGCAGCAGATTAAAGAGGAAGAGATAGTAAAAATGGTGGGAAAATCGGCTCAAAATCGCAGCCCTCATAGAATATAAAGAAGAATGAAGGTGGAGAGAGAAGCTAAGGTAGGGCGAAAAAAAAAACAAGTACAAAACAAAAAGAAAGAAGAGGGGAAAGAGAAAGAAGGAAAAGGAGATCGAAGGAGAGAGAAGGAGTTTAAGGCTCCATTGCTGTAGATGAGAGAGATTGAGAAAGGTAGATGAGAGAGGAGGAGATATCGTGGAAAGAGAAAGAAAGAAGATATAAAAAAGACTGATTTCTTTTTTATAGCATTCGCACCGGTTCGAACCGAGCCAGTGCGATTATTTCATTTTTCGCATCAGTTTGGTTCGAACCGGTGCGATTAGCTCATTTTTCGCACTGGTTTGGTTCAAACCGGTGCGAAAACTCTTTCCCTCAATCCCGCCTATTTTTTTCGCACCGGTTTTTAAAAATCGATGCGCATTGTGCGGTGCTCATTTAAGTTTTTCTACTAGTGTTTATCTGGCCAGATGGTGTGGCTAGCCGCATACAAAATGCATTGTTATTTATTATTTTTTTAAAAAATAAAGAATCAGTAAAAATGAGTTTTGATCTGTAAAAAGAATTTGAGTTTGGTAAAAATACTTTAAGTTCAGTGAAAATAATTTAAGCTCAATATAAGTAATTTCAAGTCAATAATAACATAGATATCTATTTACAAACAAAACTACAAAAAGTACACTATTATATAAATACTAGTACGTATCCCGGGCAATGCCCCGGGTTCCTTTCACAATATATATCCTTATGTTTTAAAAATCCTTATATTAATTGGCTAATTATGAAATAATTATAAAGTAATAATTTTATTCTCAAAGGCATTATCACTAATGACTACATCTCTCCACGTTTGAAATATTAGTAGCTTTAAATGTTCATAATTAAATGAGTAATTTAATTTTATGTATTCATTGACATTAACAGTTTGAACTCCTGTCTTCCAAAAAAAAAGGGAAAAAAAAATTGAACTCCTAGACTTATTTGAAACCCTTAGATCGAAAGTAAGTTTTCGACTCCTATACTTTTAGGATTTTTTTTTTGAAAGATGATTGCCTATTTGGAATTTTAATTTTGGTGGCGATACCCGGTTTGTTTATTGAATTTTAAAATAAAATTTTTATCTGTATGCCAAATTTGAAAACATATCATTGATACAAACATTATTATGTAAAAAATGTATATTACTTTTGATTTAAGATATTTTGACAAAAAATACCATTGATCTTTGTAAGAGCGCGAAATATATATAATTGAAATATGCACTGTATATGAGAAAAATGATACGAAAATTCTCTCTTAGATAAATTTTGCTTGATTAATCCGATCAAATGTCCTTAAAAAAAAATCTAATCCAATGTTGCATAATAGTATCTAAAAATCTATTGCAAGCTATAATCCTTATTGTAAGCACTTCAACTACTAATTGTACGGAGTATAGTAAAATAAACCTTTATCACTAAACTTATGGGATAATTCCACCAATTTTTTATTTTTTATTTTGTTTTGAGGAAATTTTTTAATTACTCACTTATGTCATAATTTAGGAAACTTATGGGCTAAAAATAGATTTATTGGAAGTTATAATTATTAAAAGGTATAAAATATTGGTACTTTATTGAAAATAAAACTCTAAATCTATAATTTTATCCTAAAAATCAATTCAAATTTTATTGAATATAAAACTCTAACCTAAAAATTTTATCTTAAAAAATCTATCTAAAAGTTTCCAAAAATTTTATCCTACGTGTCATATTGATAATTTATTGTTGCTACGTGGCGTGACATTTGGCGAAAAGTTAAAAACGCCAAAGGTCGTTGTCTTTTGGCCTAGCTAAAAGTTTAACTTTACCCTTTTAATAATGCAGGATATTTAGACATATGATATCCTATCGCTTATTTATAGAATAGTGTACTTTTTGTAATTTTGTTTGTAAATAGATATCTATGTTATTATGGACTTGAAATTACTGTTATTGAACTTAAATTATTTTTTCTAAGCTTAAAGTATATTTACCAAACCAAAATTATTTTTACTGGTTAAAACTTATTTTTGTTGATTATCTATTATTGTATTTACTAAATTAAATATTTCTTTCTAAAAAGAAAATTTCAAGTTAGTTTCAAAACTTAATATTTAAAAGCAACAATAACTAAAAGCTAATTTTATCAGAAAAAAGATAGATAATTTCAATTTTAATATATATGAATTTGACCGAATAAAAAAAAAGAAAGATTTATTACATATTAATAATTTCAGTTATTGATCTACTAAATATATCAACCTGCAAAATTAATTTTACGTTAGTTGGTATTGTTTTTAAGGATCTGAATGACATTCACCCAAATCATCCACAAATAATAATCGGGAAGATATAGGATGTTGCATGTAATGGTGCGTACAAAACTACAAATTCACCCAAATCAAGTCTTTTACAAATTATATCGTCTAGTTTTGTGCCCAGGAATAAAAATTTAGGATAAATTTTTTGGATCGAATGTTAAATGCGGTCATATAATCCCTTTTTATAATGCATGATATTTAGACATACTGAACTGAAATTATATTTTATTGAACTGAAAGTATTTTTACCAAAACTAATTTTTTTTCCTAACTAAAACTTATTTTCACTGATTTTCTATTATTTTTGTAAATAAATTAAATATATTATAAATGGATCTTATTTCAAAGAACTTTTTAAAACGAATTTTATGATGGAAATAGTATCGAGTTATAGGATATTTATTAAAAGTTATGATTAATTGTATATGTATGAAATATTAGAAGTGTTTCGGGGTCTTTTCGGTGTCCTGCGGGAGAGCTACAATTCCAAGACTGGATCCGTGCCCCTGTACCTGCAAAGCAAAGGAGACTCCGGGTGGTAGGAGTTCCGCCTCCGACAATCAAGTTAGAACGTGTTCGGATGTAAAACATGCGAAAACTAAAGGGAATCAATTTTCTTGTTCCAATTTAAATTTAAAGGTAACCGCCTGTTTTCTCTCGTACTTTAACTTGTTCTTTTTCCTTTTTGAAAAATGGCTTCCTAAAAGCACACGACACGACCTAGGTTAGTGATCAGCAGGTCACCGGGGACGGCTGAGTCTAGAACTAGGAGTGCCGACTGCCCCTTGATAGACCTCTCTTTGCGAAGTACCCTGAGTCCGACTGTCTATGTGTTTGTGCAGGACACCATGGCCAGAATCAAGCAAACTTCCAGGCAAACGAACCTAGATGACTCCTTTAGGGCGCCTCTTAGTGAGCTGTCGGACAGGCCGTCTGGAACCCCAAATACCGCAAGTGATTCTGTTTTAAGTGAATCAGGGGATGAACATCAAAATGAGGACTCAGGCTCTGTTGAACAGGCTCCCCATGCGGATGCTAGGTCCGAGAGCTCAGGCAGCGACTCTTTGCTAAGCACTTTAAGCAGAGTTTTTGATGACTCTGAAGAGAAGCACTCTCGGTTGGAGACAGCGAGATAATCCCTTTTAGTAGAAATGGGAGAAAACTAGGCGGAGCCGTCTGCTACCCACCAAGAGCAGTATGCCGCCTATTATCATCATGTTCCCGCAGGCAGGCGGAAGATGATGGCGAACAAAATAGGGAGCTTTAGAGCTGACCATGTCATGCGCCATGGTTTTATTTTATGTACGCCGGATACCGAGGACACCGTAGTCTGGCCAGAGGGGTCCAACTACGGGGACGAATGTTTTGTCTTATATAAGGCGGCTATTAAGGCTGGCCTCAAATTTCCTCTACATCCGGCTGTGGAACGAATCCTTGACGGATACCAGCTGGGTGTTTGGCAACTGGCTCCAAATTCTTGGTTCAACATCTTAGGCTATGTTTCCGGCTGCGAAATGCATGAAGTAGACCCCAGCTTTGAAGCATTCGCCCACATGCACTACCTCAGCCGAATCCCAAAAGCAAGCGGGTTCGGTTGGTACACTTTGTCTAGCCACAAGGGCTATATGATGACTTTAGGGAAGGAGAACAAATGGAAAGACTGGAGAAACACCTTCTACATTTTCTCCTGTCCTAAAAAAATCAAAAATAAAAAGTATAATAGGTGGAACAGGAACCCACCTTTTCTAACAGGCGGATTAGAACTGCTGCCTGTTCATTCGCAGGAAAGCCAGGGAAGAGATCCTGGATAAGGGCCTTTTTAAGGTGGACATCCAAGCCAATAGAGAGACTAGGGAAAGAGAGTTCATTCCCCAGAGCTACATTCCCAAGTATAACTGGTTGTACAATGGGACCTATCTGGCCGCTTGTAGCCTTAGTGTAGAAGAGCCGAGAGGTAGTTGACCGCATGTTTAAGTGCTTAGCAAGACTTGATTTATTTTGTGTTATACTTAACCTTTTGACTCTTCTTATGTAGATAAAGCTATGGATAAGCTCTCGGAATCCAAGAAAGCTGCTGCACAATACCGCTCGGCCATCCTCGGCAAGCGACCAGCTGAAGAGTCGCTTGCTTCGCAGGCGCCCAAGGTGAACTTCTTTTCCATTTGTCTAAATTAAAATTTATTTGTTGTCACCTGCTTCTCACTCTGTGGTTTTTGTTATAGGGCGACTCAAACAAACCCTATCCTCACTCACAACCGGATCCGAAAACAGACGACTGGTGACTTGAGTACTCCTGGAAAACCAAGGAAACATGTGACCAGTAGGCCAGGGAGGAGCCATCCTCCCAAGTCTCTAGCCGTCTCTGAGGTCAGCCGACCCCAGAAGGTGAAGGAGGTGGCGGCTAAAGGTATAAAATATTTTAATCCTTTGCCTTACCTTAGTAGGGTCAAGTTCCAACAGCAGTCGACCAGTACTTCTGAAAGAAGTAGGTCTATTGGTCGGATTTACACCAAAAACTTAAAAAATGTTGATTGTGCAGAGGCCCCTCAGAGGCCAGATATTCAACAGCTGGCCAAGACCATGCTGAGAGTCGTCTCCCTTGAAGACACGGAGTCGGTCAGGGGAGTCGGCACCCTCAACTTGGGTGCCATCCTCACCCTTCTAGTTGAGGTATCCTTGTAATTTTTTACTTCCTCTTTTTTTTACACAACTCTTAGAGCCGCCTGTTACTGATGTTCTCTTTTGCCGAATACAGTCTATGCTGCGAGTGCATAGTCTTCGTAGGCCCATCAATGAGAAGACCAAGGAGGTTAAGCTGCGAATGCTCGCTCCGCCTCTTCTCATGATACGACCATGTTTTAGATTGCTCAAAATGAAATATTGACGACTGGCCTACTATATTCACAGGCGACCGCCAACCTGCAGGTTAAGGCTGATTTGGAAGCTACGAAGAGGCGGGTTTCTGAGCAGGTTCAGCAGGTCAAGGACCTTAAGGCCAAGCTCGAGCCTCTCAAAGAGGCGGAGAAAGAAGCAGAAGACCTTCGTACTCGCGTGGACAAACTGAAACAACGGTTGGCTAACCAGGAAGTCCAGCTTGCCAAAAAATACACTTCTAGAGCCAAGGAAGAAAAGCAGGCCTTGGTCAAAGACATGATGGACGACTACAACTTGGGCGGCTCTTTTCCCAGACGCCAGCTATGAGGGCTGGAAGAATCAATTTGTCGCATCTACTCAAGAGTACAATGACAAAATCATAGGCCAAGCTGAAGATGGTGAAGAGGAGGAGGACAAGTCGTCTGATCCGGCTGATGGGTCTGATCAGGAGGAGGAGGAAGATGCTGAAAAAGAATAGCAGACGGTCGAAAAGGTTGCGGCTGCTGATGCTGAGAAGCCCCCTCTTGATGCTTAAGCTTTAGGGTATCTTTCTACGGTCGGATGACCATGTATTTCTTTTCTCGGCCTGCATGCCGCTTACTTTGTATATTTACTGACCGAGGGGTCGGGTTTATGAATAATTGCTGGTTTTACCGGTTTACTCTCTTTTGTCGGTCTTAAGATCGACTGTATTTAAGAATCATCCGGCCATTTGCCGGTTTCTCCAATTGATACTTGCTTTGTGTGTGTGTGTGTGTGTGTGTGTGTATGTTTGTGTATATATATATTTTGCATTTCATAAATTTTGCTAAGTATAGCTTGTCTATGAATGCTTTTTCATTACACCGACTGTTTTTGTCCCTAGGCGGCTGTGTGCCTGGTTTTCAAAGGTGTATTAATTGACTTGGAAATTGGTACTGTAAAGGGTACGAATGGTTTCCAGGTCAAACAATCACTATGGTGATTGCCCCAAACCAGGGGGACAGTCGGCCATTAGGCAGGCGGGTAAGTATTATCCAGCTATAGGCTTCTTTGTAGTTCTAAGAAGAACCAAGTTTAGGTGCTAAGTTTTATACTTAGCTTAATTTGTTGATTTAGAATAGATCGTTTGAATGATACCTGGGAAGTAGCAGGCATCAAACGGGACCTCTAACCAAGATAGTGGCCACTAGTTCAATATAGGCGGTTGCTTTAATTATCTTGGCTTCGCATGTTTTGCTGCTAAGTGTTAGAGTTAGCTTATTTTTGCAATTTAGCTGCTAAGTATTGGACTTAGCTTATATCCTAAAATTTAGCCGACTGTGTTTCCCCTGAGCAACAACAGTTGGTATCCGACTCAGATATTATAGATTACCGCATGTTTTTAGAGCATTTGCTAGTCTTTGTTATCCTTGTCTCATTTGATCAGTTCACAGAGCAATGTGCCACCCAAATAGGAGATGCTCTCTACGACAAACTCACCCAGATGGATGTCGCCGGACTTCTGCTCATGTTGGGATAGACGTATTGTTTTAATTTTATATCGTCCGACCATTAGCTTTAGTAGGTTGTTAAAAAAATAACTCATAGCCGCTAAGTTTGTTAGACTTAGCTTATATCTACTCATGTTGGAGTAGACTTATTTTTGATATGTTAAAGATCATTCGGCCATAGGCCTTAGTCAGATCATCCGGCCATGGGCCTCATTAGTTTGTTCTAAAAGGAACAACACATAGCCGCTAAGTTTTTTAAACTTAGCTTAAATTTGCTCATGTTGGAGCATTAATTTGAAATATTAAATAAGGTCGCCTGTACATTATACAAACGGTACCATGTGATACATAAAAATTAAATAACACAACTTTCATTGATACTTAAGTACAAAATAAGATTACAAGTCTCAGAGGTAGTACTTTTTCAAGTTGTCTACGTTCCAAGTTCTGGCTAGCTGCCTGTCGTCTGGTGTTTCCAGGCGGTAGGCGTCGCCTCTTACTTCTTCATAGATCCGGTAGGAGCCTTCCCGATTGGGAGTCAGCTTTCCCTGCTCATTGGCCCTACCAGTCGCCTCCATTTTTCGTAACACAAAGTCCCCTACTTTTAAGGGACGCTTGTGCACTATTTTGTTGTAGGCTCACGTCATTCTTAGATGGTAGATGTCATGGCACAAGATAGCATTTCCCCTGCGTTTTGGGAGTGAGTCTAGTGCTAGCCACATGGCCTCCCAGTTAGCCTCCTCATCATATAACATGACTCGAAGAGTTATCTCATAGTGTTCAATAAGAAAAACGGCTTCTGCCCCATAAACCAAGAGAAATGGGGTTTCACCAGTTGCCCCTTTTTCAGTCGTCCTGATGGCCCATAAAACATGCAGCAATTCATCCGCCCATAGGCTGCCAACTCTTTCAACTTTATTTTTGATGCCATCTGAGATTAACTTGTTGAAAGCTTTAACCTGGCCGTTTTCTTGAGGACGGCCGAATGATGCAAAATAGTGAGAGATCCCTTGGTTTCCCAACAAATTTTAAGAGTAGGCGTCTCAAATTAAGGGCCATTGTAAAAATCCATAGATATGGGTACCCCATACCGAGTGATGACATTTCTCCAGATGAAGGAGATAACATCTTTTGTTTTGATGCCTTTGACTGCCTCTACTTCAACCCATTTAGTTAAGTAGTCGACAGCAACCAGGATATACCTTGGTCCGCCTGTAGCAGGCGTTTAAGGTCCCAGAATATCCATGCCCCACTTGGCAAATGGTACTGGGCTATGGATGACCGTTAGATCAGTGGCCGGACGGTGGATGAGTTTGCCAAACCTTTGACACTTCTCACATTTTTTCACCCTTTCCATGGCTTCTGCTTCAAGAGCGGGCCAAAAGCAGCCCTGCCGCCTAGATCTCTTTGCTAGGGTCCTGCCGCCTATGTGGGAGGCGCAGAAGCCCGAATGCAAGTCTTCTAAAACCTCTCATCCCCTCTCTGGGTGACACATTTCAGTAATGGTTGGAGATAGCCCTTTTTGAAGAGTTCTCCATTATGAATTTCAAAACCGGCCTCACGTTTTTTCATTGCAACCATCTCTGGGTAAGTATCCGGCAATGTGTCGTCTGTTAAGTAAGCCCGGATGCCATCCATCTAGGTTGAGCTTCGGTCTAGTACTCAAATGGGATCTTCTTCAATGCTTCTTTTTTCCATAACTTCCCAGAAGACTGACCTAGTTGTGTCACATGAGGCGGATGATGCAAGTTTGGAGAGAGCGTCCGCCTGGTTGTTCTCGGACCTGGGCACCTGACTAAGATGAAATTCATCAAGTGTCCCAACCTCTTCTTTGACCGCCTGCAAATATTTGATCATAGCCGGATGGGTGGCCTCATAGTCACCATGGTATTGGCTAACAATCAACTGCGAATCAGAGCAGGCGTCCACTTTTCTTGCCCCAACCGCCTTACACGTGCGGATGCCGGCTAGTAGGGCTTCATATTTCGCCTCATTATTTGAGGCTTGGAACTTGAATTGTAGTGCATATTCATGCTTGTCTCCTTCAGGAGACTGACATATGACACCTGCACCACAACCGTTCAGGGTGGAGCTCCCGTTCACATATACCTTCCAAACCTAATCAAGGTTTTGAGGATCAGCCAGCCTTGTCATTTCGACAATGAAGTCGGCAAACGCCTGTCCTTTCACTGCCTTTCTTGGTTCAAAGGAAATTGGAAGGCTTTGAATTTCAATCTCCCATTTGATCATTTGGTCGGATGATTCTATGGTTGTCATTGGCTGCTTGATTGGTTGGTCTATGTAAACCACTACCGGATGCGCTAGGAATTAAGGTTTTAACTTCTTGACTGCCATGAAAAGGGCAAGACCAAACTTTTCAACCATGGGGTACCTCAGCTCTAGATTCCGTAGAACATGAGTGATGAAATAGATGGGGAGCTAGGTGCCGCCTCTTTCCGCAAGGAGAACGGCATTGAGCGCATGGTCAGATACGGCTAGGTACATGTACAAAACTCCCTTTGGCAAAGGACTAACCAGCCTTGGGAAAGAGTGCAAGTGTTTTTTCAACTTTTGAAAGACCGCCTCTACATCCGCCCCCTATTCAAACATTGTCTTCTTTTTTATGACTTGGAAGAAATAGAGACACTTGTCGCTTGACCGACTAAGGAATCTCCCCAATGCCGCCAGACAACCTGTCAACTTCTGAACTTCTTTGATAGTGCGGGGCGACTGCATGTCTATGACCGCCTGTATTTTTTCTGGGTTGGCTTCTATCCCCCTTTGATCAATAAAAAATCCGAGAAACTTCCCAGACTCAACACCAAAGACACACTTCTTGGGATTGAGCATGACCTGGTGCCGCCTGATTGTGGCAAATGTTTCTCGAAGGTCAGCAAGGTGATCCGCCTATAGTTTGGATTTGACTATCATGTCATCAATATACGCCTCTACATTCCTCCCAATTTAATTAATGAAGACTGTATTAATCATTCGCTGGAAAGTAGCAAGCACATTCTTCAAACTAAACGACATCACAGTATAGCAAAATAACACATGATCAGTGACGAACGCCGTCTTTTCTTGATCTTTTTTCCACAGGGGTATCTGAAGGAAACCTGAATAGGAGTCCATGAATCTCATCAAGGCATGGCCGGCTGTAGAATCCACCAAACTATCAATCTTTGGAAGAGGATAACTGTCCTTGGGATATGCCTTGTTCAAATCTATGTAATCAACACACATGCGCCAGGTCCCATTCGGCTCCTTGACCAGAACAACATTGGCGACCAAGTCTGGGAAGTAACGTTGCCGAATAAAACAAGCATCTAACAGCTTTTTCACCTTGGCAGCTGCTGCCTGGCTTCTTTCTTCGCCATGGTTCCTTTTCTTTTGCCTAGCCGACTTCTTTTTGGGATCCATAGCAAGCTTGTGGATAGCTAGATCCGGGCTGACGCCTGGCATCTCTTCCACTTCAAAGGCAAAAATGTCTTTGAACTCTTTTAACAGATTATGCAAGTCTGCACCCAAACTTGCAAAAGCAACCGTCCCAACCTTAACTGTTCGTTCTGGGCGAGAGTCGTCCAGTATGATGTCAATATGTTCACGTGCCGACTGGGAACGGAATTCATCTGACCATTCCTCGATCATTGTTTGCTATTGTTTTTTGATTTAAATGGCCACTAACTGATCGCCCTTTCTCTTTTAGCCGCCTTCTGTTGGAGCAAGCGCAACATCATTGACCTCTTCAAGGTCTCTTGGCTCGTCACCCTGGCTGTATGCTGTCACAGTGGGCTTATCGTTTGAGAGATAGAATTCTCTGGCCGTCTTCTGGTTTCCTCTAAGGAGCCGACTGAACCATCATCTCTCTCGAACATCAAAAGCATCAGGGATGGAATGATAACAACTTTTGATTCATTTAGGGTAGGACGACCCAATATCATTTTGTAGGCCGCCAGTTCTTCGACGACCAAGAGCTGGACCACCATGTGTCGTTCTTATCCCTTTT